TTCTACTGTATGCTATTTTTGGCTGCTAGTTTCCACTATTTGCAAAGAGTGTCTGCTAGTTTCTACTATATGCTATTTTTGGCAGCTAGTTTTCACTGTTTGCTAAGAGTGTCTGCTAGTTTTCACTGTATGCTATTAGTGGCTGCTAGTTTTCACTGTTTGCTAAGAGTGTATTCTAGTTTCCACTATTTGCTATTAGTGGCTGCTAGTTTCCACTGTTTCCGAAACATGTCTGCTTGTTTCCACTGTTTGCTAAGAGTGTGTCTGCTCGTTTTCTGTTTGCTAAGAGTGGCTGCTAGTTTCCACTATTTCGTACGAGTGTCTGCTAGTTTCCACTGTTTCCTAAACATGTCTGCTTGTTTTCTCAGTATGCTAAGAGTTTCTTCTAGTTTTGACTATTTGCTATTAGTGGCTGCTAGTTTCCACTGTTTCCGAAACATGTCTGCTTGTTTCCACTGTTTGCTAAGAGTGTCTGCTCGTTTTCTGTTTGCTAACAGTGGTTGCTAGTTTCCACTATTTCCTACGAGTGTCTGCTAGTTACCACTGTTTCCTAAACATGTCTGCTTGTTTTCTCTGTATGCTAAGAGTTTCTTCTAGTTTCCACTATTTGCTATTAGTGGCTGCTAGTTTCCACTGTTTCCGAAACATGTCTGCTTGTTTCCACTGTTTGCTAAGAGTGTCTGCTCGTTTTCTGTTTGCTAAGAGTGGCTGCTTGTTTCCACTAATTACTACAAGTGTCTGCTAGTTTCCACTGTTTCCTAAACATGTCTGCTTGTTTTCACTGTTTGCTAAGAGTGTCTGCTAGTTTTTACTGATCCAAAAATATAAAAGATATATTGATAAAACTATACAGATTGTCAGCCCATGGAGGCGCACTTCTACCCACAATTCATCACTTTGCACATGTGAATTTTTATCATCCACCATGTTTGATTTGTTCTTATATAATGATGATCAATGCAAATTTTGTAAGTATGAGTGACAATCTCAGGTTGTAGCAGAATAATTCAATTGAAAGCATAACTCATTTCGTTAATGGATCAGTATCGGATGATGTCATCAGTACACTAGTGGTATAATAAATGCTTGAATAAATATCAAAATTTTAACATAATTTCTGTTTCTGTGTGGTTTATTATGCACAAAATGTTGTACTTCATTACTCATTTTCAAAGAAAAATTTTAAATTGGTTGCTAAGTGTCACTAGGGAAAATATAAAACTTTGAGTGCTGATACAATACAATATGTAAATGACCTCACCTGCACATTCAATATCAGGTATTTCTGTCTCAGCATCCTCTTCCAAGGCTTCACTTTTAACATCTTTCTTCAACAATCTTTGTGTGGACTGCCATCTATTATTTTCCACCTGTAATTAACCATTCGTATATTATAGGGGATAAAGCTGACATTTTTTATTGACAAATATTTTGTTATTGTTCAATGTTCAATAATTACGTTATTTTACATTAGCTAATATTTTTCTTATTTAATATCTTGATCAATATTTATTTTATTCACCAATATTCTGTTATGTTTTTTTCTTGAAATTTATAGATGACTTTATAAACATCTGACTGACTAAATAATAATGACTCAATATAGTTTAATAGTATATTTTCATCAGCCCATACAAAATGAGGAAGACTTAAGGAATAATGAAGGCTAGTAACAGCAACATTGCAAATTAAAATTTTGGGGAGAAAAAAATGAATTAAAATTATTTTTAGAAACCTTGCAATCCATCAAAACGTTTAAGGTAGTCCATGATGAATTCAAATTTGGCACTTCTGAGCATGTTACGACACATATATGCAATGCATTGTGGGAACGAACTTATCACTGTATATAATGGGAACATATTATCACATCACACTGGAAACTATTTTTTTAAATGTTTTAACAGTATTAGAATTCATATCAAAAATAATATATGCCTTTTTCATCCTGTGTCATTGACCAAAAGTGAAATGAAGAAATAATTTAAAAAAAAAAACAGTAAAAAAAGCAACTTAATTAATTTGTTCATGACATTTTGAATTGTTATTTCCCAAAATAACTATTTTTTTTTCTTTTTCATCACCTAATGGCATTAATCTACAATAATGAAGTATTAAGAAGATAAAAAAAAAAAAGATATTAATCATTCAACTTGGATCTCCTTAATTACCTCATTAATACATCATGCAGTTAATAAAATATTAAACGTAAATAACAATTAAGAACAGGTGACGTAATAAATGACAAATGTTGCTAATAAAGCTAAAATACATTTTTAGTTCACAGAGATAAATACTCAAAATATATATAATCATCAAATCAAACTTGAAAATATTCAATTACGTGTCTGCATGCCTCCATATCTAAGTTTCCTCTGAGTGGTTCAAATTAAAGTATCCAATTGAATATCAGAATATGACGTGTGTAACGAGAACCAGATGGACGATGAAATGCCTTTTCTCATGACAATGTGATAAATAACATTACGTCATATGTTATATAATCAATACTCAGACATTTTAAAAATAAATCTTCAGAAGTCCAAATAACTGAATCACTGTACAGTAAGGAGTTATCGGCAATGTAGCGGAAATATTTAGAATAAATCGAGGCATTTACTGTAAAATACTTTATTTTCGCTTGGAATTTATTTTCACTATTTTCGCTGAAGGGATGATTCAGTGAAAATAAAATCCAGCGAATATACCTTTTTTCCTATATTTTACATTCAACTCATCAAAAGTCAGTGAAAATAAATTCCATACAAAACGCCCAAAAAAGCATTTTCAGGAAAATTAATTCCAGCTAAAATAAGTACTGTATGGAAAAGCACACATATTCAAAAACATATATTTGACAAAAAAACACGCTTAAATTTGATTGTCAGCAAGTTTTTGACATGTTAAGTAGTATTATTATTGCTACAGCAACTGTATTCAATAGATATTCGCAGCACTGACAGTTTCGTAGCTTCCATTGTGATAGAATTCTCATCATCTTAGGGTGTCATCACATTACCAAATCACACACAAGATTGACTGTTCGACAGTCAAAGATTTACTGTTTTACAGAATCAGTATTCGATGCAAAGCATTTTCCAGTAAGATTAGTCCGAGACAACACACAAGATTTATACTCATGTTATAACTTCGTCTGAGCAAACTTCCAATATAGTTAGTTGTGTTTAGAATACACTTGAAGCAGAATTTGAACAGCAGTGCATGATGGGATTTATTGTAGTGGAGTCAATAAATAACTTAGTTGATACGGCAGGTTTTTATCAGTACAACTAGAGACCCCTGTATTGGGAATACATGCCTATAATGACCCAAAATGATGCTCTGACCATTATCAGTGTGTGAAATTTACATGTACCCATTCATTCTCCATACATACAAAGTCATATGGTACACCACACAAGGGTATAACAGACCATAATATACTGGCATGCATAATTGAATATTGTGTTGTGTTTATAGCATGTTTATAGTTCCATGGAACAGTGCTGTGTACCTGGACAATAAAAGAATTTGGAATGCAATGTGTTATGTAGACACCATATGCCCATTACCATCAAATTTATTAAATAACATGCAGGTTTATACTATTTTTATACTTCTGTGTGTATTTCTCTTGTACATACAGTACTGTTTAGAATCTCCATTGTATTGTTTAGTACAGTCTTTTAAAATAAAAATTACCATTATACATCTCCCAGTGTAAACTCTAGAATTTACCCACATGTATGAAAACTTGAATGCACATTTTTGAATGTGATACGTAATTCTGCCTTATTTGAAGAATTCGTGTCTCATTTCCAACACATTCATACAGTTTCGGTAGTTCACGTCAAATTCAAGGGCACAGCAAAGTGTAACAATGATTGAATTATAATCACAGTAGAGTACAGATGCAACATTTGGTGCCATGAATCGTATAAAATGTGTTTTTCTGGCGTTTCAGCTATTAACTTTTATCACTACAAGCAGAGAAAGATGTACAGTATTTAATATTAATTTAGGAGGATATCGCAAAATACGCATCCAAGCAGTACAGGATTACTTGAATGCTTTCCTGCATAAATGTGGAATTACGGAATTAATGTGGTAACCTCATTCTTTGTTACACTAGATATTCAGTCCAAATGAGATCAAATACTATAAACAGACGTAGCTATATGCTACACAGTATTGAAATGCAGGTTGATCATTTCTTTAATCATTTTTTAACCTTTTTAACCCTTTAAGTCAAATATGTTCTATTAATTATATTATATATTCTATATATAAACATTTAATCTAGACCTTAAATTGTGATGGTATCTGTTCTAATGAGTGAAAACCTTGCCCTGGGCGCCACTCGCAGAAATTATTACCGTTGACTCAATATCGTCCAATCACCAAAAAATTAAAAACCTATGAACCACTCAGTTTTCATTCATTGGTCTGCACAAGTCAACATCTTTGTTTATATGAGACCAATATCTCAAGCATGCGTGGCGCGACGACCACCACTTTTTAAAGCAGGGGAGAATTGCTTATTTGGGCTGAAATGAACAAATTAATCATAAAAAAATACATTCCAATTCACAAAAAATTGCATAAAAAATCTTTGCGTTCAAAAGATTAATAAATTGTAATGTATTTACGATTATCTCTTGTATCTTTCATTCATAACCACAATGTAATCATTCAATAGATTATAAATCAATATTTTTATGCAACATAACAACTTTTTTACTATTTTTGAGAATATCAAATCATTTTGTTGTGAACCAATTAAAAGCCAAGGCTGTTTTCGTCACGTAGTTCTGGAGTTCAATATATTTTGTACACCACATGGTACTTCAAAGAAATTCAACAGCACATGACCACTTGTTAATCAAAACAAATGATTCCAAGCCATTGGTTGCTGTCAGGAACAATTAACCAAAGCACTGTTGTACATCAAAAAAAAAAAATAAAAATAACTTAAATTAACATTTATTGTTCACAACTTGTAATTACGTACGGAAAAAATCATGCTTATAAAAAAGAAGGTGACCCCCCTCCCCCATCCCAAAAATAAGTTAGTTGTGTACCATAATATCCACTACATGCGACTCAGGAAAAAAAATCCAAACAGCGCCACCTATCAATACATCATGCATACTTTTTGTTTTCATGGAGTGACAGTGTAAATTGGTAACAGGAATTTACCTTAGCAAAAGCATGGCAGATATTGTTCACAGGGCATTCATTGCATTTGGGATTCTTCGGTGAGCAGACAGTGGCCCCTAGTTCCATCATGGATTGGTTGAAATCACCAGGACGTTTGGTATCAACAATAGTGTTAGAAAGGTCCCTAGAGTAATAAATACAGACAAAGTGTGTTATTGTGCTGTCTACAGAGAGTAGCTGTTACCCGATATATTCTGAGCTTAATAGCATTGTGAAATTTATTTCCAATTCATTGAAAATATTTGTTCACATCTCCAGATATTCTACCGTTGTTTTTGAGTACAATACCGGTAACAGAAATGAATTCTTCTCATATTACTGATTTAAAGCGCGGTGGTCGTTGAGCAATGCATGTTCAAATTTCATGTAAATAAACAATGTATTTTACACACTTTGTGTACGTTGCCATGAGTCCCATATTGAACTGAACGCAGCGGGACAACCACCACCATTTAACCTTTCCTTCACTAGATTTTCTTGCCCAAAATATTTTTCTTGTATTCTTTAATATGTACCCTAATTCTGGTGCCAACTGACAAAATTTGAGTTAATTTTCAGATTTTACTCAAAATATTTAGCTGTATTTGCCCAAATCTTCTAAAAGGAAGTGTGGACTATAAACAGGACTATTTTGTTCATTTGCGATGAAAACAGGGATCTGGTGGTGAAATGAAGGACGATGTTCACTTACCAAAATGTCTGAATACATACTGCCATCAGGAACAAAGGTGTTTTCTTATCAAAATGTCTCAGTAATTACTATCATGAGGGAGGGTGTACACTTACCAGAATGTCTCATACCATTATTGGAAACAGTTCCCTCCATCCCCATCCCTAACCCTAACCTTACCCTCCAGCACTCCCCATTTAATTGTACATGCCCCTCCTATGGACATCTATAGTTATCTAGAGGGGGCATATACAAATGAATTGGGTAACTGGAGTGGGTGTTAGAGTTAGGTTAGGGATGGGGGGTACAAAAGGAACTCTTGCCCCATTATTACCATGAGGGAGGGTGTACACTTACCAAATGTCTCCATGACACATTGACTGGTGCTATCAAGCTCCGATGGCTCTCATCCGTGCCAATACTCTGATAACGTTACCATCAACCACTCCTGTTACCTGTAACAATAACATTTAGAATTTCTGTCATCATTATTACCTATTGTCAACAGAGTGATGTCATGCTTTTGAAATTCACCATAGAAATCCATATGCACTAGTATTTTAAATAAGTAAACATAATGACCGATGGATGGAACATTAATTAGTTTTGTACATTTGAATATTAGCATCGGTAGTTTTAGCGTGTTTTTTTTTCAGTGGAATTGTTGGCAGATATTCAAATGCAATGACTATTCAAATATTAATTTGCATAACAGCTTTTTGTCATAAACACTAACAAATATAATTTTGACTGCTAGGAATTTGCTGATTCAATGAGATTTGTGAAAATAAAATTTTGTGACACTCCGAAGAAATTCTAATGCCTACAAAAATTCATATTTTACACTAACTCACAAATTTTGTTCACAAAATTAAATCAGTATTACAGTAATATGAATAGAGGAAAAACACAATTTCAGCATCGCACAAATGTACAATTTTCTATGAAATAAACTTTATATTAAATAGGTCATCAAAAAAATTCTGACTTGAATGTGTTAAGTTTATTACCTCGTTAAATGCTATAGAAGCAATAGCCGCTGATGTATATCTACCAACCCCTGGCAGTAGCTGCAACAGTTGATCAGCCGTTGATGGCATTTCACCGTTCAATTCATTCACAACTTTCTGTGCTCCTTCATGTAACCTTCGACCCCTACTGTAATATCCCAAACCAGACCACATTTCATTAACTTCCTAAAAAATAAACAGAACACAGAACAAGACCATTTAATAAAACTTGGTTTGTTCGTTAATAACAAAATGAATTATCATAAATTGGAAAAAAAAAATTCCTAGGATACATGAAATCCAGGTCAAATTAAATTATTTTTATTTTGACGAATAAAATGTTTTTTGAAAGTAGCATTTGTTTGTCATCTGAAATAATTGGTTCTGTTACTCTTGTATTTTGTTTGGTTCATTGCCTAGGTTACAATTAACTGACAACCATTTAGCTCAAATGAATTTTGAAGGAGTGATATTAAAGGGCAAGGTTCATTCACACAATGTATGTTCAAATTTCATATAAACAAACAATATATTTTACATACATCGCTATGAGTTCCATATCGAACAGAACATGATGCAACGATCATTTTTATTGTCACCCAAATAGTGATCTTGTGTGAATTTTATGTAAAGGTATAAGAAAAATAACTGATGATTAAATAGTAAGTTCATGTTTTCCAATTTTATTTTCTAATTGCGTTCCAGGTGTTAACTAGAGGGCATAGAATACCATTTAATTTTATTCTTACAGATTTGAATAGCTGCTGATGTATAAGCTTTTCATTCTGAAGTCAATTTTTGCTACCTTTCACAAAATTCTTTAAAATGGTATAATTTGAAAAAAAAAATATGTACCCAATAGAAAATTGTGTCTATTCGAAAAAATTATGTTTGTTTTTTTCTCATACAAAAAACTCAATGCTGAAGGATGCACCACATGCACCACTTACTTCAAGTTTTGCTTTAGCCAAATCTTGCAACGTCGGCCATTTCTGAAAAGAAAAAGAAGAAAAATTTTTTTTTTTTGTAAATAAACAGCATAATCCCAATATTTATAACAAGTAAAATCTGAGCTATCCAATCATGTCAGTTTTTTCAATAATGTTCATTATTATACATCTGTCACTGTAATGCCATAAGTTACAGCGTGCAGTAAATTTGCGGTATTTTACAGAATATTTTCATCCTACCATATAAGGAAATGCGAATTCCAAATATGGAATGATTATGTGCGTAAGCGTCCTCTAATAATAAAAACAAACATGGCTGCCACCAGGATTTGACCAGACTCCACACAAAGAAGTTCGCTGATTCTGTTCACAACTTTTTGGATTTCACCATTCCCATGAAGGAAAAGATGTATAATAATAAGGTTATTACGAGGATACCTCAAAGTATGCACTCAGACAGTATGCTGTCGCATCAGCTTCCACTGCGCATCGATCGATACTGCCGCTGTACTGTCTTTGAGGTATCCTCATAATAACCTTATATTATGTTGTATTTATTGGTTTTTTTCTCACAGATAAAAACAAAAGATTTTTTTAAAGCCAACAGAGGGCAGGTAGGTAGAGAAATTTGAATTTTTTTACATAAGTGTCAAACTCCCTCCCAAAGAATCAGTGTAAAATACTCAAGGGTGGGGTGAAGATCGACTGTCAATTTATTAGAGGGCACTGTCTCCTTCCCTAATGTCAAAGAATTCAAAATATAAAGTACTGGAATACGATAGTTTTTGTCAACCAACTGCCGACCAATGGAACTTTTATAGAATAGGCTTTCTTTGCATCATGCATTTTTGTCATACTGTTTAGTGACATACTGTAAGTAATGATCATATTAGTGAGAGTTGAATTCCATGGCTGTCTCGCACTGTGGGTATTTTTCCTTCTACAGCATTATCTGCGTTATTTCCTTCCATTTTCTATTCAAAAACCAACAATCAATTTATAATAAACTCATAGAAGATGACACTTTTAGTTTCTGAATTTAAACATCTTAACCTGATATAAAAGCCAAAAGATTTGAAGAAATAATTGATTAATATAATCTGAATATTCACAGTTACCTGCATCCATTTATTGTAGTAGTCAATCACCGTGGCAACTTGAGTTTGTTGTAACATAATCTCAGAAACCCAGATTGCATAACTCCTTTTATTAGCGTCTTCTAATTGTGACTGTCACCAAGCAACAATAACAAATATGGATTACAATACACAAAAGTTATTATTGAGAACATTTTTCGTGATTTGATTATTTATTAAAAGAGTGTTGACAGGAACAAATTAAACAATTGTGTCATCATACCCAATAACTCCAGTCAAATATTCACAGCTAAAATGATTGCATTGTATCCTAACTCACACAAATAATTTTTTTTATGAAAGTTTAAAACAGTTAATTTTTTACTATGAGAATTTTTTATGAATAATTTTGCGAAAGATACTGTGTCTCTCGGTCTTAAAAAGCCATCATAGTCATCGTGCAGTGGAAGTTCGAAAAAAACAAAAATATATGTTTAACATACATTGTATCTGTCACACGCAACGTAATATTACCGTAATTGGTATAGTACAGGTGTGATGGTTCAAATACCAAAATGGCAACAGTAACAGAAAGACTTCCCTGGCGGCGATGATAAAATACGAACACGGAGCCAACAGATCAGGTTTCAACTGGTACTGGTATTATTGTACTCTGTAAACATCAAGTACAATAACGCAGCAAAACTCCACTACTCCAATAACTAGATACTTAAACTCCAATACAATTCAACGAGATCTCCGATCTGATCTCAGTGCTGAACAACTCCCCTATATATACCCCCACTGTCTATAAATAGACCATTACATCAGCATACATAATGAGTCTGGAACTTACTACAAATTTCTAGAATGTTCCATTACCTTCTATTGACTCCTACAGTGTTCTATTACCTATTCAACCAGTTTCTAAAAAAATCTAGAATATTCCACCCAGACACAGTACAGTTCTAGAACATTCTCAGTGACACGGAAGTGGTAAATAGGTCGTATGCGACAATGATCAAGGATTTATAAGATTAGGGTATGCAAGGGAATGTGAGTAAGATCAGATGCAAATTGAAAAAGTCACGCATATTGTAAGAAATTTCTAGAAATTCTTATGCAACTTAGTGAGTCTGTGTAAGATGTGTTCATAACAATCATTTTTGGCATTGTCACTGTTCATTCACAAAGCATGTAATAAAATATTTTTATGGTATGATATTTGTACAGAGTATTGCCAAATTAAACATCTAATAAAAATAAAATATAGTGTTGAATAATAGGGGTCATAGGTCAGTATCAACCAACTTACAAGTTTTCGCCATGGTAACTCCCTTTTGTTTTCATCGTACCACTGCAGAAGACTTTTCCTCATTGATGTTATTACAGAGTCTTCAATAAAATAATGATATGGATAGTCTTCTTTTTTCACAGCAGTTGTACCTGTATTTGTGGGAAACAAGTGAACATTTAGAAATTATCCATTCGCAGCAGCAGAGATTTATGCAAACAAAAAACAGGTTTTGGTTCTCATCCTAGGAAAAATTGAAAAATGATGACTTATTTAATACCACAACAACAAAAATATATGTTTAATAATTCATAAATAAAGCTTTCAAATACACACATTAAATGCATTCAAATAAAATGTTATTAGTTCCAAATACTGATGGAACAATCTAGTGACCATGGGCATGTTCACACTTTCATTAAGTGAGCACGCTCTATTTGCACACAAACTCCAGTCAACATCCTCATCGCTTTGCCTAAGGAACAAGTAATTGTCAGTTATGTACCTTATAAAACATGTCCTATGTTGAACATTACATTAAATATGGCTTTGAGTCTTGTTTACAAATTTACATACATCATATCGTCTGGATTGGATTCTGTGAGTACCAGTACATGTACACTACTATTGAAACAATGTCATGTTACTCACTTATATAGCTATTAATGAACTGAGAATTGAAAGCATATATGCACACATTCTCTAGGTTCTTAGAGCGTGTTGAGCACTTGAGATACCGGTAATCATATTTATTTTATTTGAAGGGAAGGTTGGCTTTAACTGCTATTGGAATTTAACTGCGATTGGAATGTTTTTAAAGATGTATTATAAACTTGTTTCCTGGAATCTTGCCAATAATAATAAAATAACCTATGTAACCACTGGAAAGATTGGGCGAAAAAAAGTTTTTTTGTCCTCATCCTTTTTTCGCTCAGAAACACAAGAGTGATAAGATTTGATTTTCAAAGACACAGGAAGTTTGGATCGAATATTCCTTGGTTGAAGTAAGAAAGGGGCAATATCAGAGCATGGGACTTTTTTAGGAATTTCTGCCAGAACAACTGCACAAATCATAAGGATAAAACACCAGTTGTTAATGACACAAAAAAACATTAATTCTCAACTCTGATGAAAAGACCAGTTACTGCAACAAAGCACTACTAACTGGGAAAGCTACTCATCACTGAAGCCACTCAGCAACTAGTACTGGATTTAAATGTCCCTAACTCCCTGGTCTTCGATACCTCAAAAAAAAAAGCTTGGGTGCGGATTTCTGTCACGCACTGTAGTTACTCTGCCATCATCTCAGGGACACAATTACCTTGGACTTGCAAAATTTGTATCAAATCGGTCTAGGATATTAACCCTCATAGAACTCATAGAACCATATATGATGAAAGCACATCGTTTTAGTATTACAGTAAGAGTTGAGATTACCATTCATTTTTATCTTCGTCTTCTTTTCTGCAATGTTCTTCTTTCGACCCATCTTTACTTTACAAGATTCTGTCACACAGTGTGTTATGACCGCTACATCGGTTTTTGACGTCGATTGTCGGTATGTAAATAAACATTTGACAACAGCTGACCCAACTTTCCCGCGAAATATACATATGCGCATCTGAACTTAGGTCACCGCGCACAATGACGTCAGTAATTTAAAAATGGCTGCTTCCATGGAAAACACGCCAGTTTCGCAATAATATTATATCGGAAGGGAATGCAAATATTGGACTGAAAGTTTGACAATAATAATGGCATGGTTTTCGCAGGTCCCCGTGGTAGATGTCCACAAGGATAATTTTCATGAACTCAGGCCGTCCATGCAGCTCGCGATCCAGTCGGCCACATTTGTTGCTGCTGATGCGGTATGACACTTTTTAATAAAGGGTGGACCAATCACCGTCCCTCAAGTTGAGGGACGGTGGACCAATATAGTTTATGGGGAAGGCTTTATTTATTTATTCATTTATTTATTCTGCAAGGCCAATGGTCATGAAACCTATTTTGTGATATATATATTAATCCATTTTTGAAACTTAAATTTGTTTCCCAAATCTTCGAACCATTATTTTAAAGCGGGAGGGTCGTCACCCGCGCACGCGCGGGAATTGAGTCCCAAACAACGATAACAACACACGCTAAAAACGCAAAGGCGCATGGGTAGACGCTTGTTTGTAAGTAATGACACGCTATTCTCACAGACGGACCGGAACAGGAAGTCAGTAGAAGACAAAAGATTTTTTTGTTAGCTTGGGGGAAAACAGAAGTGTTAATCCAAAAATTCATTGTCTTTTCCTGTTTGTGATTGGTCCTGGCAACGTTTGGGGGATCATGACGTAGCTCCGACTGTGAGAATGGGCATCTGACATATGCGCAGGTGACGACTCCCCCACTTTAAATGATCTACCCTTAATTCATCAAGTTCAAGTTAATAGTTATTTTGAAGTTGAGAAAAAGAGATGAGTTGTAGGTTCATATATTTTCAGTTCCTGACCTAGCCCTGTGTACATGTCTGTAGGTTGGCATAGCGGCGGGCACAACAGACATGTACACAGGGCTATTCCTGACCATACAGACCATATCACTATTTAGGTGGGTTTTGTTCTGTCGCATTCCAGTGGAATGGAAACACTCCCCCTGGAAGAAAACATTGATGTGCAATAACACTCGTTAGATTTCATATAGCTGTGGATTGGCAGTTGTTCATCAAAACCACTATTTTTACAGTGAATTCCATGAAGGCATAAATGTTTTTTATATAAAATATTTATAAATGAAAAAACAAACTTGACCAATCACAGTGCCTTAGTGCATGGTTGTAAATTGGCCAATAATTAAAGGGAACGTACAATGACTTGTCTGGAATAGGCATTTCAAAATAGTTTCTATAACTATTGAAACCGTTTTGGAATTTTAATTAAATGACTGAAATTGACTGTAATGCCAATTATTCTGAGCCAGTTTCCTGGAACCATTTTAACAAGTAGTCACACTGTGTTTAATTTTGTTTCAGGAGCTGAGCGGCCTTGGTCCAAGGAAGTTATTGGTAGCACAGTATGTATGATTTATATATATTTATTTCTGAACTTCTTTAAGTACCCGGTATGTATGCAAGGAGATGAGTGAGCTCAGCTTAGTAGTTTTATTGAAATTCACGTTAAAGCGGAGAGGTCATCACCTGCACTCATAAATTCAAAGCCTCATGGGTAGACGCGTGTTTGTAAACAATGACACACCTGACTTTAATTGTAACTGATGTTACATTGCAGAGTACATATATACAATTATCAAATGCAGGCATCAAGATTTAATCTTTTGTGTGTGAGTTTCAAGATATCCTAGCATCTGTCAGGACTCTTCATTCATCTGTTCATAAAAACTATTTTAAGCATATACATGCATTTGGAGATAAAATTTCACCCATTCTTGTCAGAAAAACATTTCCTTTCTGGAAATATGTTTTTCTGTGAATAATCTTTAAAACAATCAAAATGACATTGTCCATATGAGCAATAAAAAGCCAACTCGTAGGGTATTTAGATTTCAGAAAGAGCGATCAGGCTGCAATTATGTTTTCAACCCCCGACAATGTCTATGTTGTGCAAGTTTGGTAGTTTGAAAGACCTTAAAAACATGGACAGTATTTTGCTCATCACAGTGCTTGTTATATAACTTGATTATACTTTCTGAATTTTTTCTTGCAGTTCAGTGGATGACAGATATAAAGCTATGTGTGACATTGCGAAATCTAGAGCCCTGATATCCCTTGGACTCTCCTGTTTCAAAATAAATCCTCAACAGACTTGTGGTGATGTTGTTTCATTCACTGTTCAGTCATTTGATATCACCATGCTATGCAATGAAGACTACATTGTTGAACCAGGTGCACTCTCTTTCTTGGTAGAACATGGTTTTGATTTCAATAAACAGTATTCAAAAGGCATTCCCTATTATAGAGGAGTTGACAAGGTAATTATGTTCTATTTTAGGTATAAACTGTTGTAAATGAATGATTTTGTATTCGGGTAAAAAAACTGCAAGAGGGAGCACTACAAATCAGCGGCACCACCAAGTGGGGGAGATAGGGTTCTCCCTACCAGGGTGTGGAGTTTTTGATAATTCTAAGTTAAAATGGAGCATTCTATGTCTTCCTTGTGACCAAAATTACTATCAGACAGGTCACAGTTGAAGACTGGCCACATGTGATTCCTGGTCAATCAGAATTTTATGGTTGCCAGAGGATTTGCTCCCCAGAGTAAGGGGGTGCATGGTCATGGCATGAGGGTGCTGCGCCCCTGTTCCCTTGTTTTAAAAAATCCCTGAAACACCATTCTTCTATGGATAATTGGCATATCATGTTCAGCATATTAGAAGCATACATAAAACAAATATAGCATTTATTGCATCATTAAAACGTGATCTATTACGATTATAGACATACCTCAGCATTGTGTATTTAAGAATGTGTGATAATAGGAATGCCATTTTAAATTGCATGATCCACAAGTGCATATACAGTGTTGGGGAGGGGGGGGGTGGTGTAAATTTCAAGTGTTTTGGTTAAGTTCCAGTTTGATTTTGGTTTGAAATGTTAAAATAATAATTATCTATCAGTTTAATATTCCAAATAGAGAAGTACAAACTCTACACCCCTGATCTGAGATTTCTTTCAATAGACCATTTTCTCTTCACTGCAAGATACTATGTAATGTGTGAACCAAAATTAAAACAGTACAAACAAAGGTGTTGTAGTGGTGTCAAACACCTTGAAAACAATCTCAATGCCATATATTACACTTTCAAAGATCGACATTTCAACATTGACCTATAAAAAGAAACTTTCAAACTGTTTGCCTATCACACAGTATGCAAGATCCCGCAGTAAACAGAAAATCAATTTTAATGTGCCACTAACAGAGCTTATAAGGTAATAGTTGTCCACATTAGTTGTATTTCCCAGTTTGTTGGGTGTATGTGTTCAACCAAAAAACCTATTTGTACTATCACCATTTGGTATGATTAGGGTTAACGGAATCATATAGTCTGTTCAGTCAACATTCTGTTGTATTACATTGTTTTTACCTAATAAAAAAACTATTTCACTAAGACTATCAACTTAATAAAACTTTGAAATCCTACCTCACAGTCATTTGCTGACCAAGCTACTTTTCAGCATTGAAACAACGTATTGTAAATGAACCATCAAAAACCTACTGTAAAAAGGTTAATTATTCACTGGGTTTTAATTTTGCTTATTTCACTGACTGGAAAATGCACTTTAAAACCCATTGACTATGTAAATTGTAGCATAGAACACATTATCTAAATGATAAAACCGTGAATTTAAAACCCACTGATTATGCCTGAAATGGTAAATCAGCAAAATTTAAACCCAGTTAAAATTAGTCATTTTACAGTAATCAATTTTTCTCTCACCTACAGGATGGATCAGATGTTCATCAATTCAGAGAATTATTCTCGGAGATAATTAAAGCAGAAAAACCGTTGATTTTTCACAATGGATTCCTTGATCTTGTCTTTCTCTACCAGTGTTTTTATTCAGAGCTGCCGTCGTCCATGGCAACATTCTTAGCAGATCTTTCAGAGATTTTCTCTGGGGGTTTGTTTGATACGAAGTACATTGCTGAGTTTCACTCCAGAATGTCTGCATCCTACTTGGAGTACGTCTTCAGGAAAAGGTAAGTGTCTTGTCTCTGTGTTCATGATCTTCAAAGCAGTGGACAATATATATTTATATTATGGGCAGGTTAAATCTAGCTTGCCTTAATATAATGATCCCATGCCACTAAATTTTACTCATCTGGAGGATGGCTTCTGCATGATTGTATAAACAAAAGATTGAACATATAGATAGATGGATGATATGTGGCTGTGTTTTGGTTTGTGTGTGGGTAGATGTTGTGGGTAGATGTCATTCTACAAGCATTGAATGAACGCACTGAATCACTCTCCACCAGATACAAATTCTAATATTTAAGGATTCTTGTATTCTTAACGTGGCTGTTAGGTGAACACTTGAACTTCTATAATGATATTCAAAAACAGTACAAACTCATCATTATAAAATGTTTGTTTTGCTTTGTTTTCTGCAAATTATTCAGATTACTGCGACAGAATTACATTTCGTATCCCATTCACATGATTCTTGTGCTGAACATTCCATAGAAAGCTTGTAGTAAAGACGGATTCTGGACCATGCATGTGTGTGTGTCTCTTTAATATACTTGATGGGTGACAGAACCAGGTTTTGACACTAAATTATTTGTCATTTTCCAAGTCTGAAAAATTCTTATCATTTTTGTTACTTTCTGGTGAATCTGACAATCACATGAGCATTAGTGGGCATAAGCCTGGATCCGCCACTGAGTTGTAATTCTTTTCTATATTAAGTTTATAACTGTGATTTTCATTTCAGGAAGTGCCTAGAATAAATGGCAATCAGAGTTGGTTGATATATGTTACTGTTTTTTAAAAAAAACTTGTTACTATTGCCGGATTAAGTATCAATTTTTTGCACTTTTTTTGTATCAAATTTAGTAATTAAAAATTTGAATAATTTAAATATTAATAAATAAAATTTATTATAATTTTTTTTACAGCCAGAGAGATAATGCTGTGAACCAGTCCAAAGGATTAAAACATGTGACCATTGGTTTTCCAAATTATCCTACCGCCATGAAATGTATTGAATATCGACAATGTGGGTTGCCTAGCAACATCATGGAACCTCTAGGAACAACAAAACTTGCAGTTGAACTTTGTATGCAGTATGCTGTGAGTATATGATTCATGTCCTAGGATTGGCCATTTTGTTTAAAAGAATGCAGTTTCTGATCCCTATATTCGATGTGCCTGGACCAATCAAGTTTAAACTTCACACATACATAAGATAAATATTGGATAAATGCACATGTTTTTTTGTCACCATCAAATCCAAAATGGCTGACTGGCAGCCATCTTGTTTAAACAAATGCACTTCCATGGAGCCGTACTCATACTCATACATACCTGGACCACTCAAGTTTGAACTTCACAAATACATAACTTATTAGTTTATACATATATCTTATGTATATATCATCTGTAAGACAAACTGGGACTTGTTTTAATATAAAGACAAAGTGAACAAGAAAAACTAATAGTACTGTAAAATCTGTATTAGAAACCGTGGCTTCTAATAAAATGGTACAAAGCTACAGAGGGGATGCGGTTTCTATTAGAGCATCTACACATCTGAGAAATGATGAATTTTTTGTTCTCAATTATTCAAAAAGAATGGGTGCGACTTCAATTAAGGATGCGGCTTTTAATACAGATTTTACGGTACATTTCCTAAATTAGAAATTGTGACAAGTGCATGTTTTTATATATTTTAGTTTGTTTCCTTTAAATTGCACAAAAAATGAGATAATGCATTGAAGTAACAAAGGTTCCAGGAATGCATTTTAACAGTTTACATCTGTTTATGATATTTCAATTAACTTTAAATTCTCGGGATATTTACTTTAAAAGTACTTAATTAGCACTTGGATTTATTTTTGCTGATTGGATAATAATTAGGTGTAATCCTTTAGATAGCTTTTAATCGTGTGCCACGCATGCGCCAGATTTGTGTCTGGGTGGTGGAACAGACGTGGTGCTCAGCTGATCATGATTTAACTAAATAAGCATTAGTATCATCTGTTGTTGTACAATCTGATCTGCGTAAAACTTCAAAGTGGTGATGTTCAGTGTTGCTCATTGTTCTGTTTCCAATTTCCAGGGTTACGGACACTGTCCTTTGAGTACCAAATGTCCAAAGTCACATGATCCTGACCAGATTCTGGATCAGGAGGATTCAGTTTGTGAAAACAAAAGAAAGAGAAAGAGGAATCGGAATAGACGTAAGAATAAACATAAAATGGAGGAAAGTGAGACCAAGACGAGGAAAGTTGTTCAAGATGGTTTGGTAATTACGGAGCCTGCTGGTGAGACTGATGAGAATTACATAGATGCTAGGTTTGACAAGCAGCCAAATGATCCAGTACATCTTGATCTGAACACAAATAAATGTTCTGGCAGTGGAATAGAATCTGACAAAGCAATGCATTGTGGAACACATGGTACTATGCTCGAGGGGGATGGAGAAATGCATCTTGGGATGAAAGATGAGTCTGGTATCAAAAAGGATGTGTTGGAAAGAACTGAAGATAAAAAAACAAAGAAACGAGCAGATGGCTCTGGAGATGCTAATGAAACTGGCACTATGACTAGTGCAGTGGAGAAAGTTGGTTTACTACAAAAGCAGCGTATGAGAGGACACCGTGCAGGTTTTGATGCATTCATGACTGGTTTTAGTATGGCTGCCTTTATCGCTAATCATTCAACGCGAGGAATCTCAGACACTGAAACGGATTGTTCTTTTATTGAGAAGTTTAGTCTTCAAGACATTATCAACAGGTTATGCCTTAGTGGGAAGGAAATTCCATTACATGTCAGGAAGAGTAATTTCAGTAAGACATCAGTCAACCACAGAAACAAGATGAAGAAACTAAAAGAGGCTTGAGAAGGGCATGGCATTAGGCCACCTCTTAAATTCTATTATTAAGTTTAAGGATGAGATTCACCTTTTTTTCACCACATTACATATATTTAGAAAGCTGAATATTGTACCTTATCAAAAATATTAAAAAACTTAAAATAAATTACCTTTAACATTTTTATCCCATTTTGTGCTAACTAGTGTCATTCAAATCATCTTTTTAAAAAAATAAAATTGATGTTCGGATAATTTTGCATCTTGTTGTTTCAATACTTAAACTTTCATTTTTTTATACAGAATGTTTTGTATTTGAAAAAAAAAACTGTATTGAATAATAAATTTGTATTTATTTCATCAAATGGGGATTAGAAATTATGACAAGTGCATGTTTTTATATAAATGAAAAGACTTGCTATAGCTTTCTTTTATGTGTAAAAAAATCGACATCATAATCAACAACCTTATAAGGGGAAACCATTCAGGTTTCTTTCAGATGATCTATTCTTACTACTGTCAGTAGCAGGATTCAATCTAAAAGCCAGGGAAAAAAACTTTAACATTAACCAGCAAGACTGGAGAACAAAAACTGACAACATTATTATGAAAGTCAAAATTTTTCGACACGTTTAACTTAAAGGGCGGCAGTCGTCGCACGGCGTGTTATATAAGTTTCTTATAAACAAAGATGGGGACTTGACTGTTGCACAGATCAACGAGTACAAACAGATGTTACCAAGCTTTAATGGAATGTTTTTAGGTGATTGGAAAGTATCAAAGGAGTCACCGACAGTAACTGGTACAAGTCGCACCCAGGTGAAACCTTATACTTGTGATTTCAATTAGAAGAGCGCATTTGGATTGTGGGAAAATCAACGTTTATCAACACAAATTTCGCACATGCGCAGTGTGACAACTACCGGTACTGCCCTTTAGCACAGAAAAATGTATGGCATTTAAAATTTCATATACTGGTTCTATAAACAGATAACCAAAATGTATAGCTTGCCTATGTATGTATTCATGCCTTGGTCATACATTGTGTAATGGAGATTTCCTAAGATTCTACACGTGTTCATTCATCCAAAATGATTAACCAGTCAATTTAAACGAAGTGCTCACTTATTGTCATGCTAATCTAGATAATTGAACTAATTCAAATACGACACTGTACTGTTTTTTTTAAAAAAAAAACAAAGTCAACACTTAAAAAATGATTTATGCTGTTCTCAGCAATATGAAAAAAATCAATGTAACTTGTGTACAAGCAATAGATCCTATTGCAGGGTCTGTGGTCAGACATCACAATGAGGTGTTCACTCCTCGTGGCAAAAGTATAAATAACTTGTTTTTGCCCAGCTTGGCCACTGGTGGCGCTCTGCTCCAGCCATACACAGGTGAAAGAGAAAACTAAATTCCTAACTCTTTAATGTCTAAAATAGTTTATTTAAATAGGATGAAAACACTAAGCCATAGTATCATCTCACTCATGGTCTTTTGTAATTAGTACTATACACAATTAAAAATAAGTACAGAAATTCAGACTATTTTTGATACAAACATTTTAAATAGGTAAATCAAACTTCTGGAGGTGTTTTATTCCAAAATTCAGCAGCTGAGAATTCAAAACTGAATAAACTTCAATAGTTTTACCAGGTGCAAAGTATAACATGGAACTGTCTGAATCTTTTTAATATGGCATTTGTAGCACCTACTTCTAATTTTAACATTTGACTTGTACATGTTGGGGCAGGACGCCATCCATTTCAATTTTTTTCAGTTCAAATGATGGATGTAAATAGCTGTGGGGAAGAGTTTTATACCACTGAATCAGACCAGAAGTATAAACACTACTCTCTCCACAATAAATATCTAGTCAATAGCTATCATAACCGTTTGACTGTACACTTTTATTAGTCCCCGCTCGGACGAAGTCCGAAAACGGGGACTTATAATTTGGTCTCCGTCCGTCTGTCTGGAGTCATACCTCAGAATCCCTTTGACAGATTCCGTTCATTCTTTGCATGTACTTAGTACTTTATGTGGGACATATGCAATGGTTTAGTGATTCAATTCAAAATAGCCGACTGGCAGCCATCTTGTTTTTTGAAAATGTATTTTGGACATGCTTTGTCAGTCGTCATTCAAACTTGGTACATACCGGTAGATTATACGTTAGGATACATGTCCATGATTGGATCAAGGATGGTCGACTGGCAGGCATCTTGTTTTGTTTTTTTATGCGGTATCTTGGACGTGCTGTCAGTTTTCATTCAAATTTGGCACATACATTTACTTTATACATGTTAGGATGCATGTCCATGACAATTTGTTTCAAAATCTGGTCAAGGATGGCCGATTGACAGCCATCTGACTTTTTGGCCTTACTACTACATTTCCACAATTTATGTACCATTTTCATTCGTATTTGGCACATACATATCAGTGTTTCATAATCAGATCAAAGATGGCCGAATAACGGCAGTTTTTATTTTTGGCCATATTACTTACTACACGGAACACTCGTTTTGATGTAAATAAACAATCTGTTGTATACGCCACTTGGAACTAAAGTTTCAAGGACACGCTCGCGACAACACCTCTGCTTTAATATGACAAGCAAAAGGAGAATTTTCACAAATTTAACGGGGACTGTCATTTTCAATGACTTGTTTTAAATCATTTACTGAATAGTTAAGTTCTTCAACAGGCAACTTGATCTGACACAGTTCGAAAATCAGGACTTGTGGATTGACTTCTGTGTATCTGGACCTACATCTCAGATATGCCTGGACCAATTCAGATACATTATACATAATTTGTTTCACATTCTGATTCTAAATGGTGGCCATTCTTGTGCTAAAAAAAATCATTAAATATCAAGCATTTATGAATTGATTTTGTTCAAACTTTGCACATTAGACATGGGTTCCTGATGCAAGTCATTTTATTTTTCAGATTGAATTTAAAATGGTCGACTGGTGGCCATTTTATTAATGCCGTTTCAGAGCAATGTGAACAGATACAATGGCCTGATTTTTTTAAGGAGTTGCGTTTTGTTTTTTAATTTACGACCATCTTAGTTTTACACCACACGGCTGTATTAGTCATGTCAGAGCTCAGTTTTTGTTGCACATGTTCCACCATAAAAGTAATATCGGCATAAATGCAGAGTACTGAATTCACTTGCCAGAGCAATATCTTTGATATGTTGTAAGTAGCGGGAAACCCAATATTGAGCCTTGTGGCACAGTAGTGGCGATTGCAAGATACTCTTGTAGCTTTTGAATTTGTGATCTGTCCACAAAATAGGGTTTGAACCACTCTAGTGATTGGTCACTTCAAGACTTTACGCAATAGTTGATAAAGTATTGTTCAATCATGGAGCTATAATGGCTCCATGGTTCAGTCGACTTACTTTGGCACTCGCGCCCAGTTTCACATAACAAGTGCAACTGAGTGCATAAATTCCAACCATGAGAAAGACCAACCATTTCTCTTTTTTTATAAATTGTATTTATTCTGCACAAACACAAACAAAATAAGCAACACTGTATAGAGTACTATGATTCTAGTGTGTATATATGTAAAATAATATCTAAGATAATATCAATCTACAGAACTGAAACAAAATATATAACCAATTGTTAGAAAATGTCATTTCCAATTCAGTGTGATCAACTGATGTGCTTTAGAATGGGAATATTTGATGTAATCATTGAACAGGCTTGAGAATAAGCGGCAGTGAAAGATAAGAATCTCATGCTTGATACCCGACTTGAATGTCTATTTGCACATGATTGATGAATGCTGAAGATTAATTTGAAGACTAAACCTCTAATCAGCCTTGGAATGACAGGATCTGAAATCTGAATACTGAGCGGTAAGAGCAGAAATGTACAACACTTCAATTGTGCCAATAATGCATAGTACAAAGGTGGTAAAAAAGACTGCGGAGAAGAATGCGTTTGTTGTGAAACTCTTTAAATCGAAGACACTGCTTACAAGAGCACCTGCGTCATCTATAGTTGCCACATTGTGGACATGGAGTAGGCAAGACTTGCAGTGATGAAACACCTGTTGAGGTAGGTGGTAGATGGAATGCATTTGTTGACAAACTGAAATACAGCCCACCTGAAAACATCAAATTCTGCCAAGAGTTATTTAACTGGCAAGTTTTCAGAAGAAATCAAATTCACTGGTGTTTTCACTCATCTTCTAAGAAATGGAGTGAAACAATAAAGTAAGCAATATCACGATTTAATGGGGATTGAATTTCGCTTGGATCTGAAGATTGGAATTGGTTTTGTGAGGTCCAATTAAATCTATGGCGTTACACAGCAGTGACTAGGATGTTTCCATGGGAGCCTCAGTTTCCTTCTCTGAATCTTTCTTCACATCCTCCACAGTCTTGGTTTGAATTTCCTGAATTGAAAATATAATAGAAGTGTTAATTCTGAATATAACATGTGGCCAACCAATCCTTATCTGACAAAATCTCATCACTTCCCAGAGGCACTGACCAATGCAGATTTGATCTTTTACAGCCCATTATATCCCAAGATATTAACACTGGTAATGCATGCATTTTTGGGTCACTCATGTTATACAGAATGTGAATGTGTTAGAGAAAACTACTGAGAATTATTCTTGTTTTTCAAACTACTTTAGGTGCATTTAGGTATTCAAGGTACAAATGTACATACAGTAATCGCACATTCAAATTTGAAATTTGCTGGCACTCTAAACATACAAAGTTAATACTATTTCCTCAAATGATAATTGCATAAGTGAAATTAGCTTTGAAGTTAAACTAAGAGAAGGTATAACAAGGAAAGTTTATAGGAATAAGGATATGGAAGCTGAGCCCAGGATATAACAGACCAACCTTTCCTTTCTTTTTTTCAGGGGAACTATCTACACCATTGACACCATTCACCTTTTCAACTCCATTGGTTGTTTTCTCAGCTGTTTTGTCACCACTTCCGTTTTCCACTTCAGATCGGGGTTTTTTGGCATCAACACTTTCAGTGCCTTCCTTACTTATCTCTTCTTCTGGCTTCCTCTGCAAAGGAATTATGTCAATGTAGGATTAACCATATTTGCAATATTATATGCACATGTTTCAGACAAGCACTAGTATTATTGACATAATGGTCATGTAGCTGGATTATATTGTTGCTCTTCAAGTTGAACTTGACTTAATAATTGTTACGATGTACCAGGTATGACAGGCAGGCAGGCAGGCAGGAATGAATTTAGAATGGTCTCACCTTTTTACGAACAAGATGACTAATGTCGTTAATAGGAGCAGCACTCTCTGGTTTCTTGCTTTCAGACTACAAAATTAGAAAACCATAGTTAGAAACTTATTCATCGGACAGTTGCATACTGATTTCAGACATACTCCATAACAAAAATAGTACTACCGTAAAATCTGTATTAGAAGCCACACACATCCTTTATGAAGAATTGAAACCCCAAAATTCCTTTCTACACCATGTGTAGATTCTCTAGTAGCCGCATCCCCTCTGTTGCATTGTACCATTTTAATAGAAGCCGCGGCTTCTAATATAGATTTTACAGTACTACTATTTACAAATATTCAACAGATTAATCTAACAATATTAGCGAAGAAGTGGCATGAACATAAATCAAAATGCCTGTCATCATTTACGTCCGATTCTCAAAAAAACAAATATGCACCTGTTACAAAATGTACAGGACACAAGACATTGAAAATGACAGTCCCCGTTAAATTTTTGAAAGTTCTTTTTGTGCTCGTCATATTAAAGCGGAGGGGTTGTCGTGAGCGTGTCCTTGAAACTAGAGTTCCAAGTGGCGTATACAACAGATTGTTTATTTACATCAAAACACGCGTTCTGTGTAGTAGTAATATGGCCAAAAATAAAAACAGCCGTTATTCGGCCATCTTTGATCTGATTATGAAACACTGATATGTATGATGTATGTGTACATAAATTGTGGAAATATAGCAGTAAGGCCAAAAAGTCAGATGGCTGTCAATCGGCCATCCTTTACCAGATTTTAAACAAATTGTCATGAACATGCATCCTAACATGTATAAAGTACATGTATGTGCCAAATTTGAATGAAAACTGACAGAACGTCCAAGATA